GGCCTCACTAATTTGCTGAGGCTGGCCTCAAACTTGTGATCTTCCTGCCTCAGCCTCCTGAGTTGCTGGGATTACAGGCATGCTCAACTGGGTCTGGTGATGCTGTGTTTTTTTGATAGTGATTGTCTAAACCTGGCCCTTCCTAATCCCCATGAAGCTGCTGTTATGGCAGATCTTTATAGCTTTATTAGTAATCCATAATACCTTTACTAAGAATCCATTCAAATATATGTTTTCCAGAATAATTATCCCCTCTCCACCAGGTGCTGGAGTGATAATAGAGGGATGAGGAACACAATTTGTAGAGTTACTTTTTTCAATCACTACAGTTCAGTCCTCAGCTTCAGAATGGGAGAAGTCAGTTGTCCCTTGCAGATGATTGGGTTATTTTCTTGGCTTTGTCTTTGAGGATCTAGAACTAGGCAAGCTGTTSAGTTTCCCGGACTCACTGTGAACTTCATGATATCTACCAGGACTTAGCACTCAGGGAGATACGAAGACCTTCAAAAAGGGACCAGCTCCTCGGATGTACTCCCTCACAGAGAGATGAAGGGGTGAGTGAAGAAGAGGTAGGGTCTGATGTGAGAGAGATGCAAAATGTCTAAGAGTACTGTCTCTGGAGATCAGCCTGACCTGGATTCAAGTCCCAGCTCCATCCCCTACCAGCTGTGTGATTCAGTTTTCCCATCTATAAAATGGAAGTAATGGTACCTACCTCATAGTGCTCTTATTAGTATTAAATAAGCTCATGCATGTTAAGCGCTTAGCTTAGGACCTGTACATAGTAAACACTTAGACTAACTTGTTGTATTCTAACCTAACCCATCTATTGGGAATACCAGTGAGTTTGGGAGTCATACGTTACTGTGCCAGTGAGCTTCTCATTCACTTCTTCCCTTTGTCCTTTCACCATAATCAGGCAGCAGAAAACAGCTGAAACAGAAGAGGGGACAGTGCAGATTCAGGAAGGTGAGTGTTAAAACTAGGACCAAGACCAAGGTCATGGACTTTCTCCATCCCCCACTAGCCTATCTTATGTATAACTTCTTCTTTTTTTTTTTTTTTTAAAGAGAGGGGGGGGAGAGAGAGAATTTTTTTTTAATATTTATTTTTTAGTTTTCGGCGGACACAACATCTTTGTATGTGGTGCTGAGGATTGAACCGGGGCCGCATGCATGCCAGGCGAGCGCGCTACCGCTTGAGCCACATCCCCAGCCTTGTATATCTTCTTTCTTTCTTTTCTTTTTTTTTTAAAAAAAAAATTGTAGTTGTTAATGGACCTTTATTTTATTCATTCATTTATATTCGGTGCTGAGAATTGTACCCAGTACCTCACACATGCTAGGCAAGCGCTCTACCACTGAGCCACAATCTTCTATCATCTTTCTTCTTAAGGATATTCAAGTAGAACAGAGGGAGAAAGGCAGTTAACTCACAGACTTTCCTTCATTCTTTTAATTCAGGTGCAGTGGCTACAGGGGAGGACCCAACCAGTGTGGCTATCGCTAGCATCCAGTCAGCTGCCACCTTCCCTGACCCCAACGTCAAGTACGTCTTCCGAACTGAGAATGGGGGCCAGGTAAGGGAGGGGGCCAGGTGGCTGCAGGTGTTACCTGGGGTTGGGGTTGAGGGAGGTAATCAAACATCTTGGGGAGACCTGACTTGGAGGAGGAGGTGAAAATGTAGACTCTTGGGGGTGGTGGTGATAAAAGGTCTAGAGGAGAAATTATTATAGGAAAGGAGAATGATGAAACCTCAGTATAGAGAAAGAAGAGAGGACAGCTGAATCTATGTCTCTGAAGGGTTTTTGTTTTGGGGCTTTGTCCAAGGGAAGCTTTATGAAGGATCCTGAGATTCCAAGTGCTTATTCTTCTGTCTTCCCTTCCTACCCTTCCCCCTTCCTCTCTGCTTCTAGGTGATGTACAGGGTGATCCAGGTGTCTGAGGGGCAGCTGGATGGCCAGACTGAGGGCACTGGAGCCATTAGTGGCTACCCTGCCACCCAATCCATGACCCAGGTACAGGGGGATGGGCTAAATCTCTGAGTAACAAGAGGAAGAAGGGAACTAATAGATTGGAGGTGAAACCAGGAACAGTGAGGCATCTCAGACTGCTTTGACTGAAGGCACTAGACTTTCCCTTTCTAGATGTTTCTCCTTCCCTCTTCAAAGGATAAAGCTACAGAGTGGTACAGGGGGAAGAAGTGTCTGATTGTCACTGGACTCTGTTCTTTTGCTCCCCTTTCCAGGCAGTGATCCAGGGTGCTTTCACGAGTGATGATGCAGTTGATACAGAGGGGACAGCTGCTGAGACACATTATACTTACTTTCCCAGCACTGCCGTGGGTGATGGGGCAGGGGGCACCACATCGGGGAGTACAGCTGCTGTCGTTACTACCCAGGGCTCTGAGGCACTACTGGGGCAGGCAACCCCTCCCGGCACTGGTGAGATATTGCATGAGGATGCTAGATAGCAGGGCCAGGAAGGGCTGGGGGACATGGCTGGGACAGTGGACCTTTATTCATGACCCTTAGTAAAGACTAAGACCTGGCCAGACAGGGAATCTGGGGCTGACCTGCTAGCAGGAAGGAGCATGTTCTTTTCAGAGAAGGGTCCCAGGGCCTTGTTGAACTTTCTAGTTCCAAGTCCTGGCAGAACCTGCCCCGCATCTTCACAGGTCAATTCTTTGTGATGATGTCACCACAAGAAGTATTACAGGGAGGAAGCCAGCGCTCAATTGCCCCCAGGACCCACCCTTATTCCCCGTGAGTGACCCATTTCTTCTCAGTTATCATGAATAGTCTTAATACCCACTGTAATTTGTATAAGTCCTTACCCCAAACTCAAATCTTATTTTTAAATTTCTTTTGTCCTTCCCTCACTCTGATCATCCTGCTCTGTTGTCAGGAAATCAGAAGCTCCCCGGACAACCCGGGATGAGAAACGCAGAGCTCAGCATAATGAAGGTAGGTGCTGTGTTCCAGATGTGAAGCCAGGAACTTGTCTAATTGGGCTAGGGACTTGTCTAATAGGGCTAGGGACTTGCAGGGAAAGAAGGAATCAGTGGAAGTGCCAGAGTCCTGGGGCAAGCCAGGGCATTACCCAGCAGACCTCTGTTATGCACTATAAACAAGTACAAGGGGCAAGTCCCCTAGTTTAATATGTCTGATGATATCTGAGGGGAGGAAGGGTTGGTCATTTTATCCTGGGGCTTGTGAGTGTTCACTGAGTTACTTTGTCCTCCACTTTGACCCACAGTGGAGCGCCGCCGCCGAGACAAGATCAACAACTGGATTGTGCAGCTGTCCAAGATCATCCCAGACTGCTCTATGGAGAGCACCAAGTCTGGCCAGGTCATGGAAGGACCCTGGTAGTGGATGGGAGGCCTGAATTCTGTCTCCTGGTATTATTTCCAGAAATAGTAGAGTGTGGGACATACACTTTTCATTCACTCTTCATATCTTTCTCTAAGGTCCCTATATCCATGGGAGATGCTATATCACCATCCTTAGGGGAAAATATAGTCCAAAGTGTGAATGTTGTTTTGGAAAGCATAGTGCTAGATGTCTTAAATCCTAAGTCCTCATTTTGTTGACTTTGTCTTGCAGAGTAAAGGTGGAATTCTATCCAAAGCCTGTGATTATATCCAGGAGCTTCGGCAGAGTAACCACAGGTTGTCTGAAGAATTGCAGGGGTTAGATCAACTGCAGCTGGACAATGATGTACTTCGACAGCAGGTCAGACTCCTAATCCCAGTATTACCCCCTAGGCCCCTATAGCCCACTGATCCAGTTTGGGACTCCGTACTTAATTCTCCATTGAGAGCACTTCACATTTTCCTCCTCACCAGTGGATGTCTAATTTCAGGGGCTTGGTAGTGTCAACTTTTCTACCCATTTCCTTGACTGCCTTCTTTCCATGTTAGGTGGAAGACCTTAAAAACAAGAATCTGCTGCTACGAGCTCAATTGCGGCACCACGGATTAGAGGTCGTCATCAAGAATGACAGCAACTGACTATGGGGATTCAGGGGCTTTGGGCCCAAGAACTGCAGATAGCCCAGGAGCGACAGGCTTATCCCGTGCCCCTTTCCTTCACTGCCCACTTCTGGCAAGGGACTCTGGGGAGTTCAAAAGGCGTGTCTTTGAACTGAGGGCCTGTGGTATGGCAGCCTGCAGTAGTGTGAAACACACATTGTGAACATGCACTGACAGCCTTGCCTACCCCTACCATGCAGCCCCTGGGTCCTTATGCTCCTCTTGCACAATGCATGTGCTGTCTCCAAGCTGGATACTGGACATACTAAACTGGGGGGCTTGCCCTGGGCTTGCTTAGAGTACTCAGCAGAGGGTCTGCTGACAAGTGATACTCTGGCTTGCCCCAGGACTCTGGCACTTCCGTTGGTTCTTCCTTTCCCCGGAACTGAGGTTCTAGATGTGGACCTGCGACTCTGGGGAACAGACTTAATGAAGAAATGGGGAAGGTTGCTTAGCAGTGTCTACTGTCCCACAAAGAAACTGGCCAGCAAGCAGCTAAGGCCTGTGTAGAAGTCTCTGAAGCCAGGGAGAATAACAGGGGCCCACTTGGGGTCTTTCCCCTTGTGGGGGTGTTCCCCCCCCTTTTTTAAGATAAAATTGTTCGGAGCCACAGTTGTCTCTCTTTCCTCCTTTTGCGGGCCCCAAGTCAAAAGGGAGTGGGCACATTACCTTTGACCAATAAGGGCTGTGCCAACTTTAGGGTGGGGTGCCATTCCTATACTCATTACCCTGAGTTGTGTTACCTGTGCCAGATCGGGTGTCGTTTCCGGCTCACCCTGGCAATAGCAAAGATTTCTCCAGTGGGATGTTGAGAGGCACCACGAACAGGTGCTGTGGGGACTCTGCGGGAGGCGGTGCTTTGCTTCCGGTTCCGGTCTGGGCTCTGGGAGGAAGGGAGAGATGCTGCCGACGGCAAGGGGGCGGGCTGGGCCACATTCCTGCAACTGGTGATTGCTGTCCGCACCATGGCTGGAGGTACCTGTGAGGGAGCCCTGGGATGTCCAATGCTATCTGTGGCCCTGGGAGTGTGTGAGGCCCCCATGGTGGAGGTGTATGTGGAGGGAGGAGTGAAGGGGCAAGACCAGAGAGGCTCTCAGGGTTAGGGTGCTGCTAGGGGAGGGGGTATTGAGGCACCCATTCTTCATAGTCCCCCTCTGAAGGTGCATGTGCCCTCTTCTTCAGCGTCCACGGTCTCGGTCTCGCTCCCTGAACTCCGGTCACTCCTAACATCAGGCCGGGCCCGGCTCTTCGATGTGAGATCTCGGGAGGAGGCTGCAGCGGGAACCATCCCAGGGGCAGTCAACATCCCGGGTATGGGATTGGAGGAGACAGCCCAGAAGGGTCTTAGCTAGTGGGATCTCAGAATGACATGGGGAAGGCAAAATACAGAGGCCGGGTGAGGGGGGATCCTACATTTCCCTAAGCTGCCCTCAGCTTCCCACAGAGAAGGGCTGATTGGAGGCGGATCCTGGCAGTGGAACTGGCCTATCCAGTTTGAGGGGAGAGCAGAGGGTAAGGAGAGGGGCAAACCAGCTTCTATATGCTTGACCTCCCTGAATCTAGATGCCTAAGTCTACCTGCTCCTCCTGGCTACACACACACACACACACACACACACACGAACACACACCCCAGGATTCAGGAAGTGACTCACAGGTCATTTGGCAAATTTCCTTAAGGGTAAGCTGTTTCTTTGACAGGGTGGGAGGTGGCCACCATATATTGGTTTGGGGCCTGGAGATTTTGTTCCATCACGAGCTCTTCTTGCCTGATTTCTGACCCTGAGAATCAAGACTTGCTTTCCATTTATTCTCTGGACTCCTCTCCCAGTGTCCGAGTTGGAAAGTGCCCTGCAGATGGAGCCAGCTGCATTCAAAGCATTGTACCGCACTGAGAAGCCAAAGCAAGAAGATGAGAATCTTGTTTTCTTCTGTCAAATGGGAAAACGGGGCTTCCAGGCCACACAGCTGGCCCGGCGCCTTGGATACACAGGGTATGGGCATGGGCAATGTGTGGCTTGCTAGCTGGGAAGTGATTGGGGACTGCCTATTGGGCATGTCCTTCCCTTACCCCTCTTTGTTTCCACAGGGCTCGAAACTATGCTGGGGCCTATAAGGAATGGTTCGAGAAAGAGGGTTAGGCAGAACCCTTATCTCTCCCTCCCACCTTAACAAAGGGTGATGAAGGAGATGACTTGCTGGGCTAGGCAATTCCTTTTAGTGCTTTGCACACAGAAACATTAATAAAGAACATTTTATCAAGTATTGGAAGTACTTAATTTGTTAGGCAGGCAGAAAATGGGTCTGGCTGGGTGTGGTGGTACATGCCTGTAATACCAACTACTTGAGAGGCTAAGGCAGGAGAACTGCAAATTCAAAGCCAGTAGGCAATTTATTGAGATCCTGTGGTAAGAAAGAAAGAGAGAGAGAAAAAGAAAGAAAGAAAGAAAATGGTTCTAATATTAATCTACACCTCAATTCACTGCTGGATCATTTATCTTTCCACCATTTATTTACCTGGCCTTACCCCCAAATTCTAGCAGTTCCCTGGGTAACTATAATTCTTCTTCTAGAACAGTTGTTTTTAGGGTGTACATGGCCTAGAAACTTAAAAAAAAAAAAGCTTGGTCTGGGGGTAATGTCTTGTGCCTATGTCCCATCCTATCAGAAACCTGAGGCAGTAGGACTGTTTGAGCCCAGCAGGGCCACCCTGAACAACAGAGCAAAACCTCATCTAAAAAAAAAAGGCCGGATGTGGTGGCTCATGCCTGTAATCCCAGTGGACAGCGGCTTGGGAGACTGAGATAGGAGGATCACCAGTTATTTGAAGTCAGCCTTAGCAAAATGAGGCCCTAAGCAACTCACTGAGACCCTGTCTCTAAATAAAAAATACAAAATAGGGATGGGGATGTGGCTCAGTGGTTGAGTGCCCCTGAGTTCATTCCTGGTACCCCCCTCCCACCCAAAATAAAATTCGGCCCAACCCCAGATTATGTTGGTGGGGTGGGACCTGGGCATTTGTGGATTTTTTTTTTTTAGCTCCTCTGATGAATCTAATATACAGTCAGAAACAAGTATCACTGCTCTTTATACCAGAGGTCCACAAACTAATAGCTCAGCTATCCATATTGCTGTGATCATTCCTTTTTGAATTGTTTATGGCTACTTTTGTGCAAAACTGGCAGAATAATGACAGAAACTGTATATCCTTCAAAGCCTAAAATGTTTACTCTTAAGCCCTTTATAGGAAAAGTTTGCCTACTATTGCTCGTGAGCCTCAACATCACTTTCTTCAGACTATGTTTTAGGGTTGAGGAAATGAAAAGCAATTCCAAGCCTTTGGGTAAAAGAGAATTGATGATACCCTTTATCCCTATATTTATGTGTCATATACATGTTACAGATATGAGGAGCCCTTTCTTTGCCACCCCAAACAGTTCCCTGATTTTGTCAACACTGTTCTGATTCCAACTAAATTTTGCTAAATTTAGTTGATTAAAAAAAAAAAAACCTGAAATGGCAAATACTTACTGAAACTAAATTCAACACTATGCAGCAAGCATCTAACTTCCCTTTAATATGATGCATATAGTTTGATGCATATCTTTTGAGGCTTTTTTGGTTTTGTTTTGGTACTGGGGATTGAACCTGAGGGTACTTTACCACTAAATTCCATCTGTAGTCCTTTTATTTATTTTTAATTTTGAGACAGGATTTTGCTAAGTTGCTAAGTGGCTTTGAACTTGCAACCCTCCTGCCTCAGCTTCCTGAGTAGCTGGGATTACAGGCATGTGCCTCTGTGCCTGGCTCCTTGAGACCTTTCAATGGCAGAGTTTTTTTCCCCCTAAGTTTGATTTTTTAAAATTTTATTCTTTTATCTGTGGAAGAGAAGGTTGGGCCAGAAGTGGATTCAATTTTCTGTTTTTTCAAGTTTCTGAGAAAATTCCTTCCTACATTTCTTACATTCTTTGCTTTTTTTTTTTTTTTTCTCACCTTCTTTTCCTCTTCCCTTCTGCTTTCTGGACTATTGCCGGCCATCCTACATCTTTTCTCTCACCGTCCACTTTATAAAATCCTCATTCATCTGGGCTCCCCAACTTCTCGGCCTCAGAGCTATCCTACTTTCTCCCTGAGCTAATCTGAGTTTAGCCAGACATTGTTGGGTCAGAAGATAAAGTTGAAAGGGCAAATTGTGTCATTTATTCTTTCCTTAAATAACCAAATCCCTTTGGGAAGTTTCTCCTGTGGTCCAATTTCCTCTCTGAGTCTTAACTATTCTTGTTTCTTTTTTCCCTCCCTCAATCTTTGTGATAGATTATAGCATTTCCTCATTACTATTATTACTGAGGCATAATTTACCTATAATAAAATGCACAGTTCTTAAGTGTTTAATTCATTGAGTCTGGGGTATGCTCCCTTGTAACCATTTCCCTAAATAAGATTTATTTATTTACTTTTTAATATTTATTTTATTTATTTTAATTGTAGTTGGGCACAATACCTTTATTTTAATTATTTTATATGTGTGCTGACGATTGAACCCAGGGCCTCGCATGTGCTAGGCAAGCACTCTACAGCTGAGCCACCACCCAGCCCACCCCTAAATACGATTTAGAACACAGAAATCCCCAGGTTTTTTTCCAGGTGCCCCTTCCAATCTCTCCCTTTCTCTCTTTTTAAGCAACCACTTTCTATCACTATTGATGAGTTTTCTAGCACCCTTCCTGGCCTGCCAACATCTATCTTTTGCTTCTTTCTGTTTAACAGTTCAAAGTTAGAATCCTAGAAGTAAAGTGATCTGGCTTACTATATAACCATGCCCTCTGGTTTGATCATTGTTAAAAGAACATTCCTCTTTCTCCCTCATTAACTGTTTGGTTAATAACCCTAACAGGCAGTTCCAGGCCATTACCTTTAAAGTTCTCTTTCCCTTTCCTCATAACTACCTGTTTCAGCAGGTGAGGCTCAAGCATTAGGGCTCACCAGCTACATGCACTTAGCTTGCCTTCTTCTGCCTTCCTTTTCATACTAAATTGCACTTCCTCTTTCATCCTACTTTATACCAGGTTTGTGTTTACCATATGCATGTGTCATAATGTGTTCATCATATGTATTATACTATTATACTTTTTTTTTTGAGTACTGAGAATTGAACTGGGTGCACTACTGCTGAGTTTCATCTTCAGCCTCTTTTTTTATTTTGAGACAGAGTCTTGCTAAATTGCCCAGACTGACCTCAAACTTGAAATCCCCCTTCCTCAGCCTCACAAGTAACTGGAATTACAGGTGTGCGCCACTGTGCCAACTTTACACTACATTTTTGTTTGTTTCCCCTCCTAATTGGCTAGGCACCTCAAAAGTAGGGACTGGCTTTCATTTTCTTACCTCGGTGAATGTGAGTTTTCAGTAGGTGTTTGTTGAGCTTTATTAGCTTTTGACCTTCAGAACTTTCTAATTTCAGCCTTTCTGAAGCATCACTGCATAGCCAATCTTAAAATAACATTTTTATCTTATCAGTCAGAGTTGATAATATACAATAGGTCCTCTTTGCCTAGTGACTGGAGCATGTGTCTCAGCCTGGCCTTTTGAGCAATCTGTAGTCTAGATCTGGCATCAACCTTCATTTTCATAGTTGCCTTCCAGTACTCGCTCTCATCAGGATTCCGCCCCCCYCTCCCAGTACTGGGGTTTGAATTCAGTGACACCCTATATTGAACTATATCCCTAGCCCTTTTGATTTTTATTTCCACACAGGGTCTTGCTAAATTGTCCAGGCTGTCCTCAAACTTGGCTGTCCATCTTCCCCAGTAGGTGGGATTACAGGTGTGAATCACTACGCTGGTTCAGGTGATTTCTGTGTGTGTGTGTGTGTGTGTGTGTGTGTGTGTGTGTGTGTGTGTGTGTTGCTGGGGATTAAATCAAGAGCTTCAGGAATCTTTTTGTCCTTAAGTAGACCTTCTTCCTTTCTAGACCAGACCTTCGCTCATCATTTCTGCTGTTTGGGAAACTTCCAGTCTTTTGTACCCTCTGAATTTCACAAGAATTAGAAGAATGTATTTGGCAGGAGATTTGCTGGTCTCATCAAGAGGGCTTTTAAACTCAAGGARAAGGGAGAAAAATAGCAGATAAAATTATATAACTGGATTCCATGAAGAACACAAGATGCAGAATAGTAGACAAAGCACATTGTAGCATTTATCACACTATATTAAAAATTTACATTCTCCTCTAGACTGAATTCTTTGAGCAGAGGGGTTGTTTATTTTATTGTTATGGCCAACAATGAAACCAAAACTCTCACATAGGAGATACTCAGTAGATGAATTTTCAGGGAGGCATTTAGTAATTCCCAGGGGAAAATGTGAGGTGAAAAGTTGGAAACAGTACTCGTGAATGCCAGAATGTTACTATGGAAAGAGTAAAGATTCTGAGAGAGTTCTGAGTTCTAGTTCTGGCTTAACCCAACTGAGGTGACTTTAAGATACTTTTAACTATTTCAACTTTCACTATTCTCATTTGTAAAATGGAACTTGTAAGGCTTAGCTGGATGTTGTGGTGTATGCCTGTTATCTCAGCTACTTGGGAGGAGGATCCCAAGTTTGAAGTTAGCCTCAGCAACTTTATGAGATCCTTAGCAACTTAACAAGACCCTGTCTCAAAAAGAAAAAGAAAAAGAAAAAAAAAAAAAAAGACTGGAATATAGCTCAGTAGTAAAGTGCTCCTGAGTTAAATTCAATTCCTAGTACCAAAGAGACAGAGGTTTCCTTGGATTGTTGTGTTAATACCTACCATATAGAACATATGGATTTATAGTTGAATATGAGAGTATATACAATAAACAAAAAGAGCTAAATGCAATAGCACAAATATCAATGAAATTTGATGGAAGA